TGTCCTTTTGGGAACTGGCAATAGTGTCTTGAAGCAAGTGCTTGGCGTTTGTTTGATTTGTTCTTAACTGGCAGGGCCTTCTGTCTTCCCAGCCCTCGTGGCCAGGAGGCCGGTCTGAAAACCCCAGTGCCCCTGAGAAAGTCTTTCCCTCCAAGCGCACCATGTCCTTTTGGGAACCTGCTTGGAGTGTCTTGGCAAGAGTCTTGGCAAGCACAGCTTCCAATTGAGCAAGCGAATGGGTCACCAAATCACTTGGCGAGATAGCACCAAGTGAACTGGGGAAGCCGCAAAGCAGCCTGCGAAAGACCACCTTTCTGCATCCCAGGGTTCCCGCGGATCGCTTTTCAGGCATGCCCTGCAGGTAAATATCTCAACTGCACAACGGATCTGGGCAAATGCTTCCACTTCACCAGAAAACCATGAGCTACAGCCGAGCTCAGGGGGCCATCCATGTGTTCAAATTCGCTCCTCCGGCACCTCTAGAAGGGCAGGTGAGGAGCTCCCCTGGCTGCTTTTGGCTTTTCGCATTCGACCCGTGCTCTGTTTGGACAGGAGGGTTGGGAGAGTCAGCCAAACAGGTGGGGTTGGAACAAAGGGTCTCGCAACAAAGTGGCGACCCCCTAAAGGGTGGAAACAGGGAACCCAGAACCACAAGCATATTTGATTGCAGAACAAAATGATAGGTGAAAGGCGTAGGGAATCAACTTAGAGCCCTTGCCTACAAATACTACTTTGCTGAATGAGAAGGAAAATGAAAGACATCCAACGGGGCTTGCTGCATTTGCGGATCCTTGGGTTTGCGGTATTCTCCGTTGGGTTGTGACTCACCAGGAAAGCTACAACCCAGGTAAGTTTGCAGCGGAGTGCCGTTACGGTTGCCAACCGGACCGCTGTCTTGAGCTTTAGCAGCCCCCAGCAAGGCTTGTATGCATTCGTCTTGTACTCCAGGCAAAATGTGCTGGGAAGGCCTCTTTCATTGGGCCCAGTTACCTCCCTTGTGCCTTTGCCTAGGTTCCCCTACAAGAATCTGAAATGGTTTCGACTACCAAACCACTAATACTTCGCGGGTCTTGAAACATGGCCCTCTTGCCGTTCCCAGCTGTTTAACCTCCAAGGGTCTTGTTAATTGGTGAAGCAATATGGGCGCGCAAAGGGGCGAGGGTATTCAAAGCACACCTCAAATCACATTCGGGGAATCGGAATCTTGGACGTCGTTTTTTGCAATGGGCATTCCTCTTGCTTGTAAAACACGGCATTTCGTGCCATGGGTTCCGTGCCTTGGGCAGCGGCCGCATGTTCTCAAGGCCCGACTCGACGTCCTGGTTGCGCGGTCGCACCCAAGTTCGCGAGCTATGCGGGGTCAAGGGGTTGTATCGTATCGTTGTTAGAGCCTGCCATTTAGATGTCAGCAAGCCTGAAAATCAACCATGACACCTGAGCAAGACCGTGGTTGGTGGATAAAAATGTCCACCGAAATGCCCGACAAAAGGGTCTGAAATTCAAGGACAACTTTGTGAGGTCTCCAAAATTAAACGCCACATATCCCACCCGAAGCGCGATCAAAAGCCGGGTTTGCAGCGAGCTGTTGTTCTTGTTGCTCATGCAGAAAAGCTACACGAAAGCTTGACACAGGAACCTGCGCAAGCGTGCCCACATCGACCTGGATAGCTTTCTGTCGACCTGTACACCTGACACAGGAGATGCTTCCAGCCCTCTTGCGGATGCCAATGCATCAAAAATCTGAGGGATCCACGGCTGAGAGCGCATGCCCGACAGGACATACATATGGGCAGCCGCCGAATTCTTCTGAGAGAGATACAGAGATACAACTGGCCGCTGCCAAGGACATGCAAGACATGTACAAACCCACCGGGCGAAAACTCGAAAGGTCTGCAGCCTTTGTCCGTATGAATTGATCAACCTACTTGGCGCGAATATGAACGCGCTTTGTTCCTGCCGTCTGACCGAAATGGAACAGCGCCGAACACCTTGGGCAAATGCTTGTTGTGAACCCGAAAGGGATCCAACACGTCTGTCCCGGACTCCGGACCGGGCCGGGGCGCCCAACAACAAACGCTTTTGACTCGGTTTTTGTGGATCAGCCCTTTCGCTCGTGTAAAGGCTGCAGGCAAAGGCCGCAAGGTTGGCATTTGCCAAAGCCCTTTTGCATTGTTACAAGCAAGAGGAGACGCCAGCGGTCGTCTGAATTATTCAGACTCTGCGTGGCCATTTGTCAGTGATCCGGGGCTAACACCTTGACGCATCTAGTCAGCAATCCCGGCCTAAATACGCAACCCAATAAACCGAGCTTCCAAGTCTTTAGCCACGGCAGAGTCTGAAACAAAATCGTCGCTTGTCACCAAGCCCTCCCCAACTCCACAGATGCATCAAAACTGAAAATCCGCACGCTTTCAGCGCGCCTCATCTGCCTTTCCTGACTTGCTTGAGACAGCGTCTCCTCACGCATTTCCAAATGGTGCATTATCTTGACCAGTTTGAG